GTGGTAGGCATACCACCCGTTCCCATTTAATTATATCTTGTGGTAGGCGTACCACCCGCTCCCATTTACAAGCCAACAATAATCACAAGGAATCCCGGCAAGGGAACAATAATATCAACAAACATCCCGGCAAGGGAGAAACAGCTATAACTAGACTTGTTACAACATCTAACTACCTCAACTATAACCAAACTTGTTACAACACCTAATACCTCAGCTATAACCAAACTCGTTACCACGTCTAACTATCTTAGCTATAACCAAACTCGTTACAACACCTAACTACCTCAGCTATAACCAAACTCGTTACCACATCTAACTACCTCAGCTACAACCCAACTCGTTACAACACCTAACTACCTCAGTTATAACCAAACTCGTTACCACATCTAACTACCTAAGCTATAACCCAACTTGTTACAACACCTAACTACCTCAGCTATAACCAAACTCATTACCACATCTAACTACCTCAGCTATAACCAAACTTGTTACAACACCTAACACAAAGAATCATTAACCTAAGCATCTGTAACATCAATTAAGAACACAATGCAAGGGAACCACAACTCAATAATAGCCCGGCAAGGGGGTAACATAATGATCTCTTCTCTTTCTCACTTTTACTTCACAACTCGAGCTAATGTTCTAGAATATCAATTATTACTTATACTTTCACAATTCGCTATACAACTGGAGTTAACACTCCTCAATGTTCATAGGTCACAATTCTTTCCACAACTTTACACAACAAATAGAAATCTTCACCAAGGCATGAACAATACAACGAAGTCATGGAAAACACAATATAAGACCCACGGTCATGCTTGACACCAACGTATATAGATACTCCTCACTACCTATACGTCGTACTCAACAAGAAGCAATTAGCAAATAGGACACAACTCCTAATCCCTCAAGCTAAGGTTAGACCAAACATGTACCTCGAACTTCCACGGCCAACTCAAGCCTCAAACACCGCTTTTCCCTTGAATTTGGCTCCAAATCAATCGTATCTATACATAATCGACTCAATAACATCAATATATGCTAAACAATCCAATTCCAATACTTAATTATAGTTTTCCAATCATTCTTCCCAAAATTCCAAAAATCAACCCAGGGCCCGCTTGGTCAAAATACGAGGTTCGGACCAAAATCCGATCACTCATTCACCCACGAGCCCGAATATATAATTTATTTTGAAATCCGACCCCAAAACGAGGTCAAATTCCCAAATAATCAAAAAGCCCTAACTCTACCCAAATTCTCAATTTCCTACCCTTAATCTCATGTTTTTAGGCCTATAATCTAATAGATGTTGATGAAAATGGAAGAAAACAAGTTAAAGATTACTTACTTAAGAGATTATGGTGAGGAAGTGCTTCAAAATCGCCTAAGAGCTTTGGAGAAGAAGAGGTTTATGAAAAATGGCCAATTTCCTGTAATGCATTCTGTTTTTTAGCTTAAATAACTTGGCGGATTTTTATTCTATGCGATCACGAAGAAAGGAATGTGATCGCATAGGGTAAGGGAAATTAGTCACTGCGATCGCGGAAGAATAAATGCGATCGCATAGAACAAATTGTGACCTCCCAGAATTTACTCTATGCAATCGCGGAAGAATCAATGCGATCGCATAGAACAAATTGTGACCCCCCAGAATTTACTCTATGCGATCGCGGAAGAATCAATGCGATCGCATAGAACAAATTGATAACTACCAAAATTAACTCTATGTGATCGCGGACATTCCTATGCGATCACATAGAACAAAAACCTGGACACCAGCAACCAGCCAAAAACACCAGATTTTTTATGTCCAAAAACAATCCGACGCCTATCCGAAACTCATCCGAGCCCTCGGGGCTCCAAACCAAACATGCATACTAACTCAAAAACATCATATGGACTTACTCGTGCGATCTAATCGCCAAATTAACCTCATGAACATCGAATTAAACCTCAAAATCAATGAAATATTTCAAAACTTCTTAAAACATCAAATTTTGCATTTAAGGTCCGAATCACGTCAAATGAAATCCGTTTCTTCCCAAACTTCACATAATTATCTTAAATCATATACTCCCTCCGTTTCAATTTATGTGAACCCATTTGACTGGGCACGGAGTTTAAGAAAAGAGAGAAGACTTTTGAACTTGTGGTGTAAAATGAAGCACATATATTTTGCGTGGCTATAAATCATTGCATAAAGGTAAATTGTTTCCAAATAGGGAAAGAGATCATTCTTTTTGGCACGGACTAAAAAGAAAATAGGTTCACATAAATTGAAACGGATGGAGTATAAGACATGTACCGGGTTCCGAAACTAGAATACAGTCCCGATACCATCAAGTTCTAAATGCATTTCATTTCCAAAACTCATATAAATTTCCAGAAAATAATTTTCTTTAAAAATTCATTTCTCGGGCTTGGGACCTCGGAATTCGATTTCGGGCATATGCCCAAGTCCCATATTTTCCTACGGACCCTCCGAGATCGTCAAATCATGGGTCCGGGTCCGTTTATCCAAAACATTGACCGAAGTCAAATTTATTCATTTTACAGTCAAAACTTATCATTTTTCACAGATTTTCACATTTAGTCTTTCCAGCTACGCACCCGGACTGCGCACGCAAATTGAGGTGACGCTAAATAAGGTTTTCAAGGCCTCGAAACCACATAATTCAATTTAAAAGCAAGTGATGACCTTTTGGGTCATAACAAAATCATTTTTTCTTGCTTCTCATACACACACTCTGCCACGTCAGCGTTAAGGGTGCAAATAACTTTACTTTAAAATAGTTTAGGAGGGTAATAGGATTCCCGCAAAGATAAAGCGTGTAGTTGAGAATCCGAGTATAGGTCAGGGGTACTTATGCATTTTCCCTTTCTAATAATTTAAAGCCTCTTTTCTAAATTTACAAAAAAAAAAAAAAAAAAAAAAAAAAAAAAAAAAAAAAAAAAAAAAAAAAAAAAAAAAAAAAAAAAAAAAAAAAAAAAAAAAAAAAAAAAATTGGCATTGTAAACCTAATATGCTTGCTACCTCTAAGAATTATTTAAATATTTCGCACTTATTTCTGTCTAATATTACATAATATATCCTAGCAGCCACTTCTTCTACACCAAAGTTTTTTTTTTTAACTTTTTATTCATTCAAAATATTAAAAATATAAAAGTCAACTTCTCTGATACACGCCCAATATGTGTCCAAATGACTTGATCTTCCTATTTTCTAGGTAATGTTAGTCACTATGACGACAATCAGAATGAATTTGTTGCCAATTTGATTTACAATAATATATATGCATATTTCATTTCTTTCTCGCCCATACTTTGACGTAAACTAATTTTTGTTATTTATATACAAAATGAATGAGAAAAATTAGTATAAAATTGATTGGATCAAGGACCAATCCATTCTTGGAGATAGTGACAATTAGCATTAAGAGAACTTAGCCCAATTAACTAAATGGTTGATTTAATATCTTCTAGCTTGACCTTCTCCTCTCCTTTGTTTAAACCTTTGTACCGCTGTTAGTCGGAATCTAATCAGGTCACAATCAAACTGTAAATATTACAAGTTAAAAATAAATTAATCTTTTGATCATAACCGTACAATTGAAATGTCATTTTTTTTTATTAAATTTATAAGAACATAAAATTTTACAAATTATTGAACACCTCCCTCACAAAGCCGTAGAATTAAAAAATTAAAACCATGTGGTACACTCTATAAAAAGATGAGTGTGGGGGGAAAGAGGTGGTCTAAAATGCACATACCTTTACCCTCATTAATCCCTATTATCTACTGCTAATTAATATTATTGAGCATGAGGTCCAGTGCTAATTTATATAATTGAGCATGAGGTGCTGCTACTTCCACAAGGAAAAATTATGGTCACTATTTTCGGCTGTGAATATTTAAGACTTTTGGAAATCTAATCTATTGAGGTACCAAAACAAAGTTAAACAAAAATATCCAATTCCATAAATAGTAAAAGAAATAGTTGCTTGTACTTGTAGGAATTGGACACAATTTTAAAATCAGCAGTAGATTGGCGAAATATAGGTTTTTTACTTGGTTTAATTACAACAATTACAACAAGTCAACAACAACAACAACAACAAACCCAGTGTAATCCCATAAATAAGGTCTTAGAATGGTAGTGTGTACGCAGACCTTACCCTTCCCTTATAAAGATAGGAATGTTGTTTCCGATAGACCCTCGGCTCAAGGAACAATAGAGATACGATAAAGCAGTCAAGTAATAAACAAAGGTGACAACAATGCATAATGGTGACAGGCGTGAATGACACAATAACAACAACAACAACAGCAACAACATGTAATAATTTTTTGATAATGAACACAACATGTAATAGTAAAGAACCATGACTAAAATAATACAAAATTATTCTTAGTGCTACTGGTAGGCCTAGGAGGAACACACTACTAACTGTCAACCTACAACCATAATCCTCGANCATTTCCCATTCGCCAGTGGCGGAGGCAAAATATTCGCTAAGGGGGTTTTAAAAAAGAATTTAAAAAGATTGTATCCAGTAGGAATTGAAATAATGACCTTATAAAGGTTTTGAACCCCCTTGACCACTAAGCTATGCTTTTAGGTTGTGTAAGGGGATTCAAAACACAATATATAGGGGTAAAAAATAGATTTTGCCTTATATATACAGTGTAATTTTTTGGCGAAAGGGGTTCTGGTGAACCCCTTCCGCCCCCTAAATCCGTCATGCCCTCCGCAGACCCGCCATGGACAACCCCTCACACCTCCTGACCGGTGCATCTATGTCTCTCCTCTTCACATGCCCGAACCATCTCAACCTAGATTCTCACAACCTGTCATCTACAGATGTCACTCCTACCTTATCCCTAATAATTTCATTCATAACCTATCATTCATGGTATGCCCACACATCCATCTCAGCATCCCCATTTCAGCTACTTTCATCTTCTGGACATGGGACTTCTTGACATGCTAGCACTCAGCCACATACAACATAGTTGATCTAACCACCACTTTGTAGAACTTGCCCTTAAGTCCAGGTGGTACAGTTTTATCACATAGAAACCCTGAGCTGAGCCTCCATCTCATCCACCCTGCTCCAATACGATTAGTAACATCCTCATCAATCTCCCCATTACCTTGAATAATGGCCCCAAGATACTTGAAACTATCTCTTTTGGGGATGACTTGAGTACCAATCTTCCTTCCACTCCTTCTTCATGCAACCCATCACTAAACTTGCACTCCAAGTACTCAGTTTTTGACCTACTCAACTTGAAACCTTTAGACTCTAACGTCTTTCTCCAAACTTCTAACCTAGCGTTAACTCCACCTTGCATCTCGTCAATATGTAATCAGCGAATAGCAACATCATGGCACATTCCCTTGTATGTGTCGGGTCAGCACATCTAACGCTAAGGCAAATAAAAACGGGCTAAGAGTCGATCCCTGGTGCAGCCCCATCTCCACTGGGAAATGATGTGAGTCGCCTCTCGCAGTCCTCACCCGAGTCTTCGCTCTCTCGTATATGTCCTTAATTACCCTAATGTACGCCTCCAAGATGCTAGCCTCCATACATCTCCATAAGACCTCTCTCGGGATTTTATCATAGGCCTTCTCTAGGTCAATAAATACCATATGCAAGTCCTTCTTCCTCCCCCTATATTGCTCCACCAATCTTCTCATGAGGTGAATGGTTGTTGTAGTAGACCATCCCGGCATAAATCCGAACTGATTCTCGAAAATAGTAACACTACATCGCATCCTCCTCTCCACCACCCTCTCCCAAACTTTCATAGTATGACTCAGCAACTTGATACTCCTGTATATCACCTTTGTTCTTATACAACGGGATCATCAAACTCCACCGCCAGTCTTAAGGCATCTTCTTCGTTCTAAAAATAATATTAAACAAGCGAGTAAGTCACTCCAAGCTAGTCTGACCTACTTCCTTCCAATATTCCACTGGAATCTCATCAAACCTAGTTGCCTTATCCCTGCTCATCTTCTGCATTGTCCCTACAACCTCGTCGCTCCTAATACGCCTAAAATACCCAAAATCTCTCTGGCTCCCAGAGTTTTCCAACTCACCTAGCACGATATCCTTGTCCCCTCCCTCGTTCAAGAATCCATGTAAGTACTCTTGTCATCTACTCCTGATACACGCCTCTTCCACCAGAACCTTACCATCTCCGTCTTTAATGCACTGCATTTGGTCCAGGTCCCGAGCCTTCCTCTCCCAACTCTTGGCTAACCTGTACAGCTTCTTGTCGCCTCCTTTGCCCCTAACATCCTCAAACAATCGCTCAAAAGTTGCAGTCTTAGCCGCGGTGACTGCCAATTTTACCTCTTTCCTTACCTTCTTATAACATTCCCTACACGTCCTCTTTTCATCCTCATCCGAACTCCTACTAGCTTCAAATATGCCGCTTTCTTAGCTTCCACTTTTCTGTGGACCTCCTCGTTCCACCATCAATCCCCTTTGTGACCTCTTGAATAACAGTCTTAAAAAATGAAGTTATGGCAATACGTTGTTGAGCTAAAACTTTGATTTGAATGTCATCATTTTTCGATGTTATCTACTGCTGTATATCACCAATCTTTATTTATTGTCTGCTATAGAAGACCGAAATAAATAAGATACAAGGATCAAAGAAGCACGGGTAAAACGACATTTTGTACCATCAACAGTTTAAAGGACCTTAAAATCCACATATTCAACATACTACATCCACATTAGTTCTTAAATAACATTAAATTTATCCCAGAAATCTTTTCTGAACAATCTCGTTGACACAGGTACATTCTTAACAAAATAATTTCTTCTACCGAGTTAAGCATACTAACATTTTAACACTAACATAAGGGTAATCCTTGGGGATTTCTTTCCCAACTTTCCTTAACAGCTCTACATATAGACCTGGACCAACAAAAGCATAGATTATATGAACAAGATCGCTAGAAGGTCGAAAATCCGTAAAGTATGAAGGTGCCAAAGCCAATCGGAATCCATCCACAGAACTAGACAACCGAGATCATTCCTATTCACTCCCTAAAAACCACATTAAGCATTGCCTCACTCTCTCGATTCTCATTGCTTTCCCTCAATCTCCACCCCAAAATCTATGGAACGACGAAAACAAGGATCAGAAAATTTTACCACTTCTAATAAAGTACTAACAAAATTCAATAGCTTTATTAGTATATCATTCAAGTTTAGCTGTATCAAGAAGAAATGCCACCAACATCACCAATTCCGGAGTGGAGAGGCAAAAGAAATCTTGATTGCACTCCTTGCATAACTTTAAATGACAACTTCGAATTGATGTACTGCCAACAAAAAAAGAGAGAGATATTAATGTTAGGAAACTTTTTCAAGTGAATAAGCTGGAGCATATACTTCTAACCGCATCCAAATGGCGATTCCACAAAGCCTACACCTCTTCCAAACAGAAAGCACATACACACACACACTCTCTGATACAAATAAAACCACTCCATACAAACTATCACGGCACGTTATGACAAAATTTCAACTGTTCCATGTATTAGAGAATATATGGTGTGCCAAACATAAAGAACAAATACCTTTGTAACATCTCGGTAGAAGGCACTGATCTCCTCCTCGGTAAGGCCGCCCTCATCAGCATTTTCCTCCCAGCCTAGAGAACGCAAAAATGCAGCCTCTTCCTCTTCCGAACACAAGATTGCATCAGACTTTGAAAAGCTCTTGTCGGTACTATTCTTCCCCTCATAAGAGTCATCAGTGCATGTATTTTCACCTGAAATCTCAGTTGATTTCTCAACCCTTGGGCTCTCATCAGATAACGTGGCATCTTGATCCTGAGGGATACCAGGCGCAGTCAAAACTTCTGAAACACCAGATTTATCTAAAAGTGGTGATACAGCATACCCTGCACCATTGACAGCTGAACTGCTTGCAATAGATTTCTTTCTCATAAGATTGAAGAAATCATTTCGACTCCGAGCTTGGGATGACAGCTTTTTTTCCACCAGTAACCCAACAGGCTTGCGTTCAGAGGTAAAGGAAGCAGCATTATTTGCTAGACTCTGTGTGGAAGCAGATGCGGGAGCAGTAAGAAGGGTATTTGACCCTTTGCTGTGAGCATTTGGGCTCAAGCTACTGTTCACACCATAAGAAACGCCATTCTCTCTTGTTGGCTTAAAGATGTGAAGCTTGGTTGAGAGACAGTGATTGACAGGATTAGATGATGAGACAGTTTGCTGCAGCTGCTCAACCTTGGCTCTTGGTTTGTCGGAAGGATTTGGCACCTGAAATTAAAGATTGCGGGAATGTATGTTATCATGAAAGTAATTCAAGTATAGCAACATTGTTATCCCAAAAAAAAAAAAGGATCTACAGGGAGAAAAGCTAGCACTAAACAAAATTCAGAAATGTTAGGATAAAGTCTATCTATTAAATGGAAGATCAGACCATTTAAATGTGATTTTTGCAGTCTCCATTTTTTAATTTCTGCAGCTTCACTAAGTATCTCGTATTCTACCAAAACTCCATCAAACTTTATGCATTCTTCTAAATTGGGCAACTATTACTTTCTGCCCTCTTTCACTAATAACATCTTTCCATAATCTCCTATCTCTAACTTAGTCCACTTATCATTTTCCATCTAACTCCTTCGGAAAGGCATGCAATGTCACCATAATAACAGTTGTGGCACGTGTCTATATAGGAGAGCATATCAAGGCGGTTGCCCTGTTATTTACAGATATAATTCTAAATAACACCAATAACAAAAACGAAATAATACAACACAAGCTGCTGTCATGAATCTTTGCTCTTCAGTCCAGGGAAACTTCCAGGCTAGACAGTAACTTCGACAAATTATTTTAAACTTATCCACCGATATAGATACGCCAAACAGAAAGCTCAGTAATGCTAGACAATTTCAGATACATGAAAGGAGCAATACCGGATGAGTAGATAATGTCATACTACTATGAAGAGTGATAGAAAACTTCTTTCTGTCAAATTGCTAAAAGGCCTACATAGAGAGGATATTCAACCATCCAATTTGTCTTTCCCCCTCAGTTAGCCACAGTTTTTATCATAAAATAGTTTTGCTTTGAAAGGGTCGCAATGTTTCAACAATTCATCCATCTGACTCTTAAGTGCTTCCTTCTTGGTTTTAGTCCTTTACCATGTCTTATAATTTCGATTACAGGCCACAGAAGTTGGAAAATAAATCATCTTGTATGCTTTTCACAAGTGGCCCCCTGAAGCATCACCTAGAAAATCAGGATTTTCCATTTCGAGGAAAGATAAAAGATCGGTATTGGTAAGGAAAAAAGGTTTGTCCTCCCCGAGTTGGTAAATTTGTCACATCTACCTTACATTACCAAACTAGGTGACAAATTTAACCGAGACAGGAAGAACCTGCAACATGTACAAGCAATATGAACAAGGAACACAGCTCATGAATAATGCTACCTCCTGATTATTAAGGTCAGTCTGGATAATAGTTCGTAAGTTTACTATCATCCTTAAAGAAAAAATGCTTTGTCACAATAATGTAACTCAATCAAAATGCAAAAAAACATTCTTGATATTTTGTATTCCCACACCCACCCCTTGAATCCTTGAATCCCACACAACTCTCTGAATCCAACGATTATTTTATACAATGTTTGATAACAAAAATATTTTTCTCAGAATTGACTCGTTATAAGAAATCATAAATTTAGGAGCAGAAAAGGTTTTGAAAAAATGGAATGGATATAGTTATATTTCGTGGGCTCATCACTGTGGTGAATTCAAGGACTCATTCACAATTCCACTTAACTAAAGAGACATTTTGCTAAAAGACGAACACTTTTTGCATCTTGCTTGGCTATGACCAGAATGCGCAAATCTGTTGTTAGAATGTAAATTCATAATCTCCAAAACCTCCCCCAAGCATACCAGTGGTCTGGAGAAAAGATAATCAATAAGGAACATGTATACACTGATGAGGAAAATATGCAGCACCACTAGCCTGGTTGTTGGTTGAACTCAGTCCAGTCTGTGAATTTCAGGGTTTAAAAGTACAAGACAGCTTCAAATTTCACGTTTATGACAGCAGGAGGGAGGTAAATAATTTATAATTAAGACATAGGTCCAAGGCAATCTATACAACAACAAAATAGCTTTTAACAATTGAGCGAAAAAGCATGGATTAGCAAGCATTGGTTACCAGATCAAGGATTAAAAACAAGAATCAGTTCAATTTAAGGATTAAATCATGAATCTGTATAATAACTTTTAACAGTTGAGCTCAAAAGGATAAAGACGTGAAGGATCCAAATCCACAAGCCACGGTTACCAGATAGAAAATCAAAACCAAGAGCCATTCACCAACTCCCCAAGTTGTGAAATAATGCACGAATTTTTAAAATAGTTAAGAAAATCTCACAATTTCATTGTTTTAGGAAATTTTCGAAAAATAGTTCATTAATAACTGAAATAAAGGTACGGATAATTTTCCAAGTTCCTAACATCTCAAAACAAACTTAATGGAGTGTTTTTTCTTCCACTTAAGAAAGACAAGAGTGAGAAACTTTTTTTCTGTTCTCCTCATACTTGAGGAACTATTTCAAGCATCAACTAAGTTGAAAGACCAAAGTACACGTTTTTAATCGGCAGAAGTATTGGCTAGAGAGGAAAAGATTGCAAGGTCAATAAGATGGATGTGTGTGATAGTATATATGCAACTTCTGTCTTACTTTCTGATTGAAGGAGAAACTGAATAGGTAAGCCAATAATTAGAAATAGTTATTTGAAGGGAATAATCTTAATTATCTGAAGGGAAAATGCTTTGTCTAGCACTGCTAGCGATTTATGTTGTGTTTCACACCTTTGCATAATACTTGTGTTACTGTTTTTCCATTTATTTGTTGTCTCTCACGTTGCTGATTATTTTTTGGGTTTTGTTGTCACAGATCTATTGTATCTAAGCTGAGGAAGCTGCCTCTCTACCCCTCTGGGGTAGGGGTAAGGTCTGCATACACTCTACCCTCCCCAAACCCCACTAGTGGGATTTTACTAGGTTGTTGTTGTTGTTGTTGTATCCGAAGGCAAAATGCAATTCAAAGCAATCGCAAAATAACCAAAAAAGGGGAGAAACCGAAACAGACGGGTTAAGAGAGGCTTAACTCACAGCCGGTTACCCTTAATTTGCACACTTAATATAAGTTCCTAATGCATTCGCTTGTTTCCTAATTTGAACAGAATTATGAGATTTGATTTGCAAATAATCCAGTTTTAGAAACAATGTCTTTGTAGTTCATGCAAAGCACATGATATCATAAATGAAAAAGAAGTGTGATAAAGAAAAGACCAACTATGTTTTCCTGGAACATCACGTCATGTACTCTCTCTGATTGTCATGTATACATTGTCTATTCAATTCTTATGGTATCTGACATTGAATTGTCCTTGGTAAGGATACACATAGACCACGTGAAAGCCTTCTCATTATGCTTAATAAATGCGCTTGTTAATTCATCAGGCAAGACAGAAGAAACAACATGAATGGGTAACACAATCATCACCAGCGAAAAAGGTGCAAAGCTCAACTTAGTAGAGTCTCATAAGCATTACTTGAGAACTCCCAAGGATTCCCAATTAAAACCTTTTGATAACGAGGTTAGTGCCATACAAGGGCAACGCCATTCTGTCAATTAATTGTCCTTCATAATGAAACTTCGGGAAATTGCCCCCGTATATATAATTATTGGAAATAGAAAAGTCCAGAAGATGAACAAAAAAACAAAAAAAAAAAAGCAATTGGACACCTAAGCTATCTGAAAGATGATGGCTTCAGAAACCCTTACCGAGGCCTTAGTTACCAACGGTTTCAATGGTATCAATTGCCTAGATTGCTTCATTGCTAGCTCTTCGAGTCGCTGATTTGCATGGGATAACTGTTATGGTAAACATTAAGTTATGAGCACAAGAAACTTCTAATGTAAGCCACACATATAAACGGAACACAAAACCAACCTGGGAAGTAGCCTGAGCACAAGGAGGACCCCTAGCGACTGTTTCAGCCATATTAAGACCCCTGCTAATAGCCTTGCTAGAAATTGGAGAAGAAGGTCCAGAAGAAGCACCTTGTTTCACGGAAGAAAGGCCAGGGTTATTGTTTCCAGCCACTGCCGTAATATCTGCCAGAGAAGATGCCGACTTATTACCAGTAGTGCCTGATGAGCCTATTGGTAAACCCTGAGGCATGGTACCCAAACCAGGAGATCGGACTCTTCCAAAGCCAGGTGATGCTTGTCGTTCTTCAGTTACTAGGGGCTGGATGCCTCTGTCAATTGCATTATCCACACTATTAACTGAAGCAAGCGGGCCATTTTTGTCAGTTGGGTCGATTTTACCAGCAATTCCCAAATTCTTAGGCCCTGTCTCACTAAATCTACCATAAATCATTGACTGTGAGTGTCTTAACCCTTCCTCCTCAAATATTTCCCAACGATGATTCCTCGAAGTATCAGGAAGGTCCCTTGACCTATGATTTCCTAAAGTTGATTTCTCGTGATACTTGTTAATGTCTTTATCCATGTTCCTATGACGAGGGCTTCTAAAACTACTGTAAGATCTCAAGCTAGGGCTACTACTATTAGAGTTCCATCGGGTATGTGATGAAATGGCTCGATCTGATGCAGCAGGATGCCTCAACTTGTTATTGCTCATATTAGTTGACAGTGATCTACTATTTGCAAGTTTTGATGGGACAGGATCATCTATAAAGGGAATAGAACAAAGGAAATAGTTTTAACTGAAATGAAAGTGCATGTTGTCAGAAAAAGTATGAAAAAGTATTAGAGCATGAAAGTTACCTGAATGCAACGGGGATGATGCAGTGACAGAGCCCGTCACATGTCTACCACTCCTTAACCATTGCGGGGCTAATGTAGGCTCACTTCTTTCCATAACACTACTAATGAACATTATCCAAACAAGAACAAAAGGAAAAACAACTCTCTTTCCTTCAGCGCAACTCCTACTATCAACCTCCGGTGCCAACCTAAATCACTAACATGCCCCCAAGAAGGCCAGTTTCTCTCTTGAAAACATTAGACCAAATGCCCAAGAACTTAACCAAGTTGCATGAAACTCCGCTGTCCATTAGCCCCAAATTCTTACCAATTTCCCTTTAGAAACAAAACCATTTTCCTGTAAGCAATCAGACTAAACTAAAGTGTAGCACCCCACTATCTAAAAAAACCTCCTTAAGGGTGGGTAAGGTTAGCCAATCCGGCCCGAGAAACCTTCGTTTCAAGTACCAATTTGCCCTGCCAAGTTTCTCAATGAATTGGCTTTAGAAACAAAAGTCCTTTGTCTATAGGGTCGATTAAAAATGTTCAGAACCCTATAATTCAAAAAGAGACCACCATTCTATTCACTTCAACTAGGGATTATTCATTCTGTACATTATATACAGCAAACTGCAAACAGCAATCACTTTATTCAACCACAACAATGCCTGCCTTCAATTAAGAACATAATATACTCTTCTTCACCTTATCAAAAACCATCAACAAGATGCCTCTTTAAATGCTTCCTTCTTCAACTAAAATAGACTATAAAAAACTCCTCGTGTCATTCATAACACTTTGGTGGAATAGAGTGCTACTCACTAAAGGATATAGTCAAACCCTAGATTTCAAAATCAACAAAAAAGACCAATATAGGGCACCATTCATAAGAACATAGTCCACAACAAAACTCGGTCCTCCAACTACCCACAAATCAGAACAATAAGCTATCAAAGAACAGTTAATTACCCAAAAATTTGAATGAAACCCCAATAAAGAATATAATAATCAAAATAACGCCATTATAGAACCTAATTCAGTCCCTGCTATGCCTTTTTACCTTGTTTATGTCAAATTGTATTGATGAAATTCTCAGATAATTAAAGAATCCAAAATGAAAATTTTTATACTGACAGGAAATTGAAGAGTTGTAGAGAAAGAGAAACACTAGTCGGTTCTTCGATTGATGAGGCGTGTAGAGGAAGAAATAGCCTATGTGTGTAACCGTAGGAAATATCAGGAGATCAGAAATATAGATATTAAAGGGAAGCAAATACTAGTACTCCGTTTTCTGCGTGTAAGTTTGAAAGACTAAAAAAAGTGTGGTTACCAAAAAATTTTGGAGAAGTTTATTTTTTTCAAAAATAATTAAACTAAAAATTTAGAAAAACTCTTTCGGAAAACAATTTTACAAATCAAAAACAACAATAAATGCGTGCACAACTTTATTCCTACTTTATGAGGGTAAAGAGCATATTTTCTATTGAACCCCGGCTTACACCAACATAATTACAAATTAAAAAGTGTTTGAATAATTTAGTTTTTAATAAATTTTTCGAAAAAAAAAAAAAATCTAGGTAATGCACGCTCCATAAAAGATGACAGTCTTGGTTTTGACCTCTGAGATTGAAAGACTTCCATGCGTATTTTTCTTGATTGTTCTCTTAGTAATTTTTTTTGTTTTTTATTTTTGGTTTTCCAGGTGTTCGGTATCTGTATTGTAGCCCCGACTATATTCGGATTCGCGCCAGATAGGGTCTCATTCGGGAGTAGCGCTCCCTAATAAGGATTTTTTCATACTTAGAGCTTGAATCTGAGACCTCTGGTTAAGACAGAAACAACCACATCGAGTGCACTACATCTTTTGATGGTCCTAGTAATCTATTTTGCTTGAATATGAATTAGTTGAATAAACAAATTATATGAGATGGACTAAACCAAAGAAAAAAAAGTGGTTTTTTCTTCTTTCTTTTTTTTCGGCACCTATGTATTTTTCCTTGCCGTTGAAAATTACAGCTTCACTCAACTGTCCAAGAATCCAACTATGACTTTGTTGCTATTTGGTCTTTCTTCTTTCTTTTATTTTGTTGTTATCTTTGAAATTTTCTCGTTGCAGAGGTCATATATTATTTTCTTTTTTATTTGATAGGATTGACAGTAAATTAATGCACACGAAAAGATAATGTAATAAGATTAATTTGGTCACATCCTAATTAACTTGAAAGTTGAAACGAACACGCCATGCAACTACCAAACTTTAAAGAAAGAAACAAAAGAAGAAGAAAAAAGGGAGCTCACCTAGTCATTGCCGTAACATTTATTTACATTGATTATTGTGGTATACTTAAATAAATTAAATGTCAAGATTGCTTCACTTAATTTCCGATGTAACGCTAATATAACAAACCACATGCTCTTTCTTAATTAACTATTTTGCTTTTATTGTTTATTTTTAGGGTGTGCCTTTGAAATGATCCTTTATATACGTCGAACACTAAGTGCTCATTTGGTACGAGAAATAAGGGATAATTAATCCCGGGATTAAATTTGAAATGAGTTTATCCCATGTTTCGTTGAGATACGAGATTAGTTATTCGGGGATTGTAGTATTTATTTATCCCTATGAGACAATAACAACAAACATCCCAGTGTATTTTCACAAGTGGGGTATGGGGAGGTAGTATATATGCAGCTTTATCCCTACCCTGGAAGGACAGAGAGGCTGTTTTCGGAAGACCCTCGGCTAAGGAGAATTTATCTCTATAAGAGGATGGAATAATTAATCCTAAAATAACTAATCCCAGGATAACTTGTTCCCAACCAAACGACCCATAATAGTAGTCCAAGTTCATATAAGTGGAGTTTACTTTCGCTCTCTTCCAACATAAATATTTATTTCTTAAGTAAATGTTCAAATGCTCCCTTATTTTGGTCGGGCATCTTCAAATATATGGGATCATTTCGAGTTATTTCTCTTATACTTTTTAAAAAAAATACTTTTTACTATTACATTACATATTAGAAATGAAAGAAAAGGGAAACAATTAGAATAACTCCCAACTCATGGTTGTTATGAAACCTTTATTGTGACCTATTGAATATGAACCTTGGCTTCTTCTCTAGGTAAGTAATTTATTATTATTATTATTATTATTATTATTTGATATAGGTAAATAGTTAACAATAAATAGTTAAAAATACCAAAACGTACCGAATAAATTTTACATGTAGAAAATATATGTATTTAGTAAGTTTAAAAATAATAATGCATTAAATTTTCTTTGAGCCTTGGAATTATGAAAACTATTACAATCCAACAAGTAATTAAACTCAAGATACTAATTCCTAAAATCTATTATGCTACTTCTACTTAAACTAAGTTATTTCAAGTATCTTTATTAGCAAGACACAAAGTATTTTAGCGATTATGATTAGCAAACTACAATGTATTGAATATGTTTCTTTTCATATAATTTAGATTTATCTTTTTGAATATTAAATCCCAATAAACTTTATTCTTGAGTCCCAGCTTGGTATATCTTTCAACTCGTGCGATTAATATTTTCTTTGCCTTTGTTTAATTTCTTTTACGCTGTTGTAGAATAGCTGATGGATTTATACTCTAGCCATCTTTTTTTTTAATTCATCACCCTTTAAACAGTAAAAATGTCTAGAGAGTTTTGCTAAGTCCTATAAAAGAACGTATGTTATTGCAATTCTACTTCTAATGGTGAATTTTACATGATATTAAAAAAATACCGAAAATTAACCGATCCGTACCGATACCGAGAGAAACCGACATGATTGGGACGGTTTCGAAAAGTCTAATTTTGGTTATACATAATAGAATAACCGAAAATTGGTATGGTACAAATTTTATAAAATAACGGGCCGAACCGAACCATTGACACCCCTAGTTATCAGAGTTTGTTAGATGTGTCTAATTTCCAATTAACGTCTCTAAATTTTATTTATAGGTGCAAATTGGATAAAGAAAGTAGATCCGGAATATTTGTAGTACCCATTTGATTTGAGAGCACAGAGTAAAATTTTCCTAAAATTTCGTACGATGGTTTTAGTTTTTAAATTTATTGATCTTCATCTAACTAACCTAAACAGAAGATATTACACTGATTTGAGTGCGGTAATTGTCTTTTTTCAAAATGAAACTTAATTTTTAAAATTGTATCAAATGCTCAAATTTTCTTGTTTTGCAAAAATTCATTTTCTTTTTGCCACTATTTTAAAAAAATCCCAAAAACGTTCACCAAGAAAAAGTAATATTTTTCTTATAACCAGTCCAGAAAAAAAAATTATCACAAGTAACGACTCTCTTTTTTTTTCTTTTATTAAAACATCCATCAAACATAATAAACTATCAAAAAGTATTTGCATAAAATGTACTTATTCTTCAAACGAAATACACTAGAAATGGGGAATAAACGAATCAAAGTGTATCGCGGAAAGATTTATATTCCTTTCATATACATATCGGAGTTAAATATGGGATTTCATTGACTTCTATTTTGTTAGGGCTTTTTTCACTTTTAGCCCCCGCCAGAAACTATTTACATTTGGTAGTTAAAAAAGTATATAAAATTTGTATAATTTTTGTAAATAACATACATAATGTATATATATACAAAATATATATTTTTTTAGCTATTATTTTGAGAGTGGTTATATAGTGTCATTTTTCTTTTTATTTTTTCTGTTGTTGTCTTAGGTGTCAAGAAACAAATATTAGAACACTGTCTTTGAATTTTGGTGCAATAAAATTGTCAATTATCTTTTTGGTTTCTCTTTTTCTATTGTTTATTTGACAACCACATATTTTATGTTACAATTTTGTTTGTGAAATTTAATTTAAACACACTAAGGTTTCATGGTTCTAAAAACTGGCATGTTCCCTTCTTGAGACTTGAGACTCTAATAAATAACTATTTTTATACAGATTCAGCAACGATAATTAAACCACTGTTTACCTTTCTAAGTTAACCTGTATCATGATGTAAAAAAAATAATTGCAATAATTTTTTACTAATAGAGTTAAGAACGGGGGTTGGTGACATTTTAGACCGGAAAACAATTTTAATTTTAGATGTATTATGTACTTTTTAAATAAGTAGATGTTACTACGTAACTAGTGGAATGGGTTAGACTCTTGAAGGAAAAATTGAGGGCTCACATATATCCATTTTTTAGGCCGTCATTGAAATTATATCCGTATTGTACAAAAATTTGTAAAATGTACCCACCAGTATCTGAAGTTCTTCTGTCTCTTTAACGCTACTTCAAAATGTGGTCAGAAAATCAGTCTTAAGTAATTCAATCTCATCAATGCAACTTTAGAAATGGATATAAAATTCTTGTATCTTTCCAATGCAACTTCATAAAAATCAGATATTGAGTCGTTATATCTCCTTAATGCAACTTTAAAAACCAAATCTTAAATTATTCTATCTTTCCAATGCAACTTAAAAAAATATAGATTTTAAATAGTTTAATCTCTTCAATGCAACATCAGAAATCGGATCTTAATTTTTAAAACATAAACTTGTTTTTCGAGTTTCAACAATCCATCGCACGATTCAACATCTAAATCTACTCCAAATGAATTCAAATTTGAAACATAACCTTCAAATACATGTAAAATAATCTTCAAACATCAAATATATACCAAACCAACAACAAATCTAACAAAATTCATTTCGAGAAGAAGAAGCCCTAAGCACAATCTACAATGGTATTTTGCAACTAAGAAGAAGAAGAAAAAACCAAACATCTCCTGGATCAAGAAGAAGAAGAAGAAGAAGAAGAAGAAGAAGAAGAAGAAGAAGAAGAAGAAGAAGAAGAAGAAGAAGAAGAAGAAGAAGAAGAAGAAGAAACATTAGCGAAGTAGAAGAGAAAAACTTATATGAAGTTACCCAAAAATTAGGTATTAATTAAACTTTTAAAAAAAGATGAAATAAAATAATAAAAGAGAAGAAGAATATTATAGAGAAAAGAGAGAATTCTATTGATTTTGGGATAAATTATAATGGAATAGAACCCCTTTATTTATATGGGAGAAGTGACTTACCTACAAAGTAACANCCCCCAAGAAAAATATCTATTCAACAGATAATGTGCCTCGTTAAAAATTTAACTAAAATAAAACTCGTGGAAAAAAATATAGTGAAGAAAAAGCGTACACATTTAACAATATGTCTTTGAATGCCTCATTAAAAACCGTGCAAGAAAATTCCAGGACAGAACTTTGTTAGGAAAAAAATAGT